GCTCGTAGCTCCCTATGAGGGCCATCGTAAGGTGAACTGAAAGGGAGCGTTGGGGTTATTTTATTACGCGCCTTACAAGCACTTATTGCCTAGTTCCTATTGCAATTGTCCCATTTTGCATCAATAAGTACGTTCTAGGCGCGTATAAGTCTTCTCGCGTTATATCATAAACGGTGCTTTTATCGAAATCTCGGCTGACAACACGGTGTCGCCCATAAAATGAGTATTGACCCCTGGCTTTGGGCCGATGCAAGCAGGGAGGGACAACGCGGTAGTCGCAAAAAAAGAAAAAAAAAGTACGCTCTACGACGCTTGTTTTTTCGACTCGCGTTTACCATGTTACCTTGGGCAGAGATAGCTGTGCACGAGTGTTTACCACGGGGACGATAACGGCTCGAGTGTTGATGACCGTTCTCCGTTGTCTCGTCACGCTTTTTTGTTCGGAGCAACTTGGTTCTTCTGCCTCTAGCTGGTCAAACCCAGTTGGCTCGACTCGCTTCACAGAATCGAGCCAAGTGGTAAGGGGCGACAGGGTACGACGCTCTGCCTCCCGTAAAATCATGATAAATAGTAAGATGTCACTCTTACGTGATACTCTGCGTTCCAAAACATCGTAAGTAATTCCGTTGTATGTTCACACATCGGGAGGTTAGTCAGCCCTAATGGAAGTAACCGGACCAAAGCTCACTTGTTTTTTCCCAAACAGGGACAAAAGCTCACCTTTTTTTTCTTTTTCTGCTACCCGTGCGAAACATGGGCTGGGATAAAGTGCTGACGCGATGGTCGTTGCACCGTTTTTGGGAGAAATGCCATCTCATCCCATGCAGAAGTGTTGGAAGATAAGCAAAATCAGGCAGAGCAGCAACGATCTGGGACCAAGGTTTAGGTCACTGAAACCGAGTGAAGCTCATAAAATCAAGCTTGCTTGACTCAAGGTATGCCGGAACACCCTTGAGCCACGCCCAAGAAACTTTGTGAACCGAAGTTTTTGAACCCGAAGAGTGACCGAAGAAGCGAAGTCACCCTTTGGCGACCTCACTTTTTCATTGTGCTTATGTCACGCTAAACGCGCACATAAAGGTTAGGCACAATGTTTCTTCATTACTAATGCATGAATTTTCTTGGGGTTCAGGGTAATATTTGATGTGAATGGCTAGAAAATTTAAATTCTTTCAGTCATTGAGCGTCGTAGATTTATTTCAAAACAGTGATTATTTCAGAGTTATGTGAAAAGGAAACTGAAGAAAAACTGTTATATACAAGCCATTAAGTTGCGAATTAAAAAAAAAAAAATATGTTGAAGGAACGGGAGTTGGGCCATTTGGACAAGTAGAAGACAGGTGACCTGTTTAGAAAGCTGTGCGTGATTTTGGATAGGCTGGAGCTCCTGCCACCACAGCTTGTGCCTGAATGACTAAGCTACATCAGGGAAAAGTCTACCGGTGATATTGGCGACCTGCTGGAATACTTTGATTGCACGTATGTCAACGATCCCTTCCGTTATGCTTCTGCTCCTTCTGTGGCGGCACTCAGAGCGAATTCTTCCCTTTGCGTGACATGTGTGCCGACGACGACCAGAGTTTCCCCCGGAACGGTGGAATATGTACGACGCCACTCTTCAAGATAAAGACCGGACGAACAACACCTACGAAGGATGGAATACCGGGTTCGAGAAGTTTGTCCGCCACGCACGTCCAAGCGTCTGGAGGGTATGTGAGTGAATGCCTACAGGAAAATCAGGCGCTCGTTGCCACGGCATTGACACAACCCCGAGAGGTGAACTCCCAGAGAAGCGGGTGCGAAAAACCACTTTGCGCCTGCAGAACCGTCTGAAAATATTTGCGTGGGGTTCCAGGTATACCCAGATTTACCAAAACTGCTGGAGCTAGTGGGGGACTGCATTCGCTTCTCACCAGTCGATGAATAAACTTGTCTCTACACTAATCAACAAACCATGCGCCTGTCAGATTTAATTTATCGTTGCATTTTAGTGTCGCATGCATGCACCTAAGTTGTTCGCACTCCTGTTAAGACCAACATGAAATTTTCTCCTGGTGAGCTTTTGTCCGGGTCTGTGAAAAATTGGGTGAGCTTTTTGTTCGGTGAGCTTCTGTTCGTGAGCTTTTGTCCGGTGAGCTTTTGACCGGGATTTTTTTTCCGTACAGTCGCTGCTGGTAATCTGTTATAGTAACCACACACATGCTTCTGGTGTAGTGGAACGCCTTCTGAGCATGCGCTGTTGCTCTGCTGCGCGGTAGATCAGACGCTGCGCATGCGTCCACAGCTCAGTGACTCAGCATTTTTCGCCCCATGGAACACTACATGCCACTGGGGCCAATTCAGCTTTCCAGAAAGCGGTAGATCACATAATTTTTTGTGTGTTCCTAAACGTGCGTTACCGCCAACTGATCTAATCAAGCGCGAAGAACGCGTGGCGACGTCGCGTTTTTAGTCTTTGCGTTTGTTTTTAGAGCGCAGCTCCTATACGCCCGTTTCCGGCTTTAGCGGCGTCACCGTCGGCGTAACCGCGCGTTGCATTATAGGACGTTTCCCTATAATGGCGTCACACGTGACGTCACGTGTGACATCACGAGGGTCACGGTTGACGTCACGAGGTTGAGGGGAGGTAGGGGTGGAGAAGGAGAGGAGGAGGATAGGAGGAGGGAGGAGGACAAGGGAGCAGGAGGATAGGAGGAGCAGAAGGTACGGAGGTGGAAGAGAGGATACCCTCCTCTACGTACCCTCCCCTCCTCCTCCTGAAGAGCTTCGCTCTAATTCGGCGTTACAAGAAATTGTAAACGTCTTTCATTTTTGTTTTTCATCTATACTTCGTTTTACCATAATTCCAGACGCAGTCGGCGCTGCGAGCTAGTACGACCAATGTTGGACAAAATACTCGATAAAAGTATTTAACTTACTAAACACCTGCTTCATAAAGTATTTACTAGTACTTATTAGTACTCTACTCAAGATATTTTACAGTGTCTTGAGTAGAGTACAAATACTTAGGAATGTAATTCAATTAGTGTTGAAGATACTTCCGCATTGCGTTATTTGTATTGACGTCAGTTGCAAACACAATTAACCAGTTGCGCAAATCTGGTTTACCAGAATGGTTTATTAGAACGCAACAGCTCAAAACGGCAAAAAAAAAAAAAGACATTGTGGGACTATTTTATGCAGTCCAACAAAAGGAGTAGGATATCATTGATACATGTTACAAAAAATTTCTGGGACAATAAAAAATTTGCCTTAACATATTTTTACATCGCTGAATATCACGTCCTGTAGCGCACCTTAGACGCATCGTTTAACTACAATCCACATTCCCTATATGCAGCGTTCACTATAATCGAACTTGGGATATGGAAATGAGCGAATCGGTAACAAAGAGAGCCCACATAATGGCCACGGCACTGGTCGCACCTTTTTAAGTAGGTTGCGTCCAGAAAGGCGCTCAACGTGTGGGGACGCTTTGTTGCCATTTTGAAAGGTCATCTTGCTCGTTGTCCGGTTCCTGTGCTGTTTTCTACTTATCAATGTTCGCTTACAGACAATGTTCGCGAGAGCAATAAGTGCCGGACTAATAACAAAAAGAAAAGAAGAAAAAAAAACCTCGACTTTTTGCCGTAGCGGTGTCAAATATGCGAACAGAAAAAAAGTGTCTTCTTTTTGTGTCGATTCCTCAATTTCTTCTATTTGTTATTTTATTGATACCGAAGTCTGCATTTTTGTCGTGGGTCGTTTCCCGTTCTGCGTTGCGCCTCAGTGTGGCAATCTTTACTTCCGTAAAACCACCCCTTTTGTTTGAGGATTTTTGGGGGAAAACTCTAGAAACCGAAACGCGCCCTTGGGAGGGCGAAAGAAAAACCTTCAGTGTACGAACTTTGGGGTGAAATATGACTCACAATTGGCACAGAAGCGATGTTTCACGAGCTCAATCTAAGTCACCGTAGCTAATCGGAGCTAGCAACAGGATTTGGTTGCGCGAGAGAATGTTCGTTTGCTCGCGCCACGCCCATGCGACGTCATACCGAAAAACTTGGAAAATAGCGGAATGTCAAAAAGTATTTGAGACAATGAGTACTCAGAAATGTAATTGAATTACAGTATCAAATACTCTCGAACAAAAATATTTGCAAGATACCAAGATACTTCAAAAAGTATTTAAAATGCACTACCTTGAGTAGAGTATTTGAGATAAGCATAAGTCCGGACACGACCAATTAGACGGCGTCAAAAGTGCACCATCATGATGTTCGTCATGTTTCTGTACGTGTTCTGTCTGCGCTAAACCCACCTTAAACAGTAAAGGCCCAGTGAGTTACGCTTTTGAGGTTTGCTTGATTGGTCTCATTTTCTCGTAGCGTCGGCTGCATGTGGAATTAAGCTGAAACGAAGTTTAGCTTTTAGTCCCATTTGGACTTAAGGTGAAGCGGAGTTTAGCTCAGTCTACTTTTCTGTGTGTGTAAATTCTAAGGGGGGAACTGCGTGTCATCATACCGCATTTATTTCGTTACTGTGTATCGTTACGCACGAACGAATCTCGGCGAATGTACAAGCCGACGCCTCGGCTTATTTGATACATCTTGTTGTGAGGTTTGATAAAGAGTCGAAATATCAGCCTGGGTGCGTCTCGTCGTCTGCACAGTTTCCAGACAGTGATAGCCAGCTCTCCAGCGGTGACGCACAAGAAGACACACGCGCTCTTATCAAAGGTGTCGGGGGGAGTCCCCAGGATTTGCAACCTCGTGGTTCAAGCAGTTCCCGAACCCTTCCTGAGCCTCTCAATATCAGCAGAGAGTTATCGCATCTTTACGTCACAACGGCAGAGAGAATGTTTGGTCCCCGTTTGTTCGTTGTACCACACATTGAGGGAGAGGCTTGCGCATTTTATCTACGCAGTCCTGCGTCGGGACCAAAACTGAATATGTCACCATTAGTTTCACCAATGGGAAAATCGTTTGCTATCGTCGTTGAGGGTTGACACACCCTCTTGTAGGCTCTCTTTCAAATCTCTTTCCTCCTCTGTGTCATATCAGACGTACTACAGGCAGCTGCTCTTAAGGCCAAAGGAACACTTCAGTAGCCGAGGCGGAGAGCAGACATCGCAGACTTGAGTTGAACGTTCGTCAACGTAAGCCAAAGGAGACGTGCAATTCTTAGCATTTCGGGTATACGTTGAAACTGTAAACGAAATAATATTTTTCCAGGTTAATTTTTAATCGCCAAACGGCCCACGCACTTTGAAAGATGAAGGTAATTCCGTTCCTGGATCCTTCGGAACTTTACCGGCCGGAGCACAAGAAAAAGGAGGACTTCAGAAACTTCACGACGGACATGGTACAGTTCTTCACGTTGACAGTCAGATCTTATCGCGTATATTCTTTTATAGGGCTGATTCGACGAACAAGGACGTTTATACGTTTAGTGAGAGTAAACTGGGCTTCCATAATTCTTTCATATCTTTTTCGGCACTTGGCAACGAAGACATGAATAGACGCACCTATCACAGTTAAACACCTAAAGTATCAGCGCCGGGCTGACATTTGTATAATCGAAAGATTGCCAAACGTCAACATTGTTCTAATTGAAATATACAACATTGGAGAGTTCATGAAGAGTAGTTTTCGATTTTGATGACGACGGTACTATGCCCTAACCAGCTCACAATCGTCAGTGCGGATCAATTTTCGTCATTAGCAAACGAAATCCAGACACGAATTCAGCTAACGGGCTTTATCGGTAGCGAGAGCTACGAGCTCTAATCTTTCTTTCTGGCCTCGCTTTCTGTGTCTGCCTCTCGTGAACCCTTATGCGTCACAGTCACTTTCAACAGCTGTGGAAGATTAAGCGGTCTGAGAACGTGGCCGCCGCAATCTAATCAACAAATGAACGCAGGCGTAACAGGTTCTCCGCGCTTCTGGAATTAAACGCGTCATGTCACACGTCTGTTCACTGCAAGACTCTATACGCCGAGAAAGTAAGGGAGAGGAGGAGACGACAGCGCGCAAGGACGTCAGAACGTCGAGCCCTGGTTGGAGTGATTAGTGGGTAGAGCTGAAGCTAGCGGACTTTGTCTCCACTGCACTCGGCGAACGCGGAAGGAAGGCTTCCGGCGTTTTGCTCTCGCATTCGACGAGTGCAGTGGAGACAAAGGCAGCTAGCTTGAAGACTACTCACGAATCATTCGAATCAGAGCTGGCGTTCTGACGTCATAACGCGCTCTCGTCTCCTCCTCTCCCTCAGTTTTTCAGCACATACGGTGTGCAAGTTTGTCTCTTGCACAAAGGATACGGTGACGTCAGGACGCCAAGACATTATTGAAAAAATGGTGCGTAGAAGCCAGGGCTAGCTGTCTGTCTACACCGATTCCTCGCGCACAGTGTCGCCTGCGCAGACCGGCGTCAGGATCTGGGGTTCAGGCGCCGAACGCCGGCGTTGTCTGCGAGTCGTAGCAATGACTGTCTTACCTTTACTACGGCTTTCTGAAATCCACCGGTACTTTACGAACGAGGACCTAGCCTTCGAGAGAGGTTAAGGGAAAAACCTTGAATGGCATGTTGTTTGGCTGGACTAACTACCAGACATACGCACGTTAACCCCCCCCCCCCCCCAAAAAAAAAAAAAAAAAAAAAAAAAGTATCTAAATACTCTTAGTCGTTACCAGCTCAAAAAGTAACTACATACGTTACTCGTTACCAATTCTCAAAAGGAACGCGTTACGTTACATCAAAGGTAACGAGTTACTTTTATCGTTACTTTGACGGCAAAATACACGACTGCTTTTGTTTCATGGTTTATTGTTTTCTTTGGTAGTCATTGCACTTATGCAGTAGCTGCCTCTCAAAGTTTTCATCGGTTATGTTTTTCCCCGCTTCCTTGAGAATACATCTCCGGCGACGAAGGAATGGCAATGTTTTGCAGCAGGAACAGTTGGTGAATTTGCGATACCCCTCTCTTTTTTTTGTCCTCTCTGCTTCTAAAGTTCCAAGTTGACAATGGGATATGTGCCTTCCCATGTTGGCAACCCCCGATTTACATTCGGTCTGTACAGGATTTTTGAAGGTTCATCCTTCTAGAAGGGTGAAGGGCATTCCCAGCTGTAGAGTTCGACTGACGGTGTTCAGCCATAGCTTCCTCTATACTCACAAAGCATGGCGGTTCGAAGACGGAGCCATATAGAGCGCCCGGTCGCAAATTTGGAGCGCGAGGATCTGGTAGCAGAGAGCATCAAAGAGTCATTTCTCGGGGAACCTGGACGTCAGCGCACAGCTTTGACAGCAACGAGGACCCGAAACACACTTGTTCGCTCGGGAGAAGTGTGTTTCGGCGTTTCGCCGCAGCGGGGCGCCAGTCACGTGACTCTCCACTCATCCGTTATTTGCCGGTCCAGCTTTTCCATTTCGGCGGCCGCTTCTCGTGGCGATCTGCCAGGCTTTGTCAGTATATAGGAGGCTATAAATCAGCGATGAACGTTGCTATACTGTCATACTGTTTAGCCGTTTTTCGGGTTTCCCACCTTCCTTGGTCGCAATAGACTCACACTCAAAAACAAAGCGAAGCTGTTTAAGCGGTGTTGTGCGTTACTGCCGAAAAGTTGCGAAATACAGTTACTGGTTACTTGGCCTTAAAAATAACTACGTACGTTACTCGTTCATTTTCTGAAAAAAAAAGTAACTAAAGGTACTTGTTACCGAAAAAGTAACTAGGTGGAAGTAACTGTACACGTCTGCTAACGAATAGCGGACGCGTTTTAACGAACGAAGAAATCACTGCCGATATGTTTTCCGCTTTTACTCTTTCTCACTGCACCTCATCTCCTCCGCTCCTCAGTTGCGCGCCGTATAGCAATTCCTGTTGCGCGAACAAAACGAGGGACCTCTTGTCCCTCCTCGTGTTGGCGCTGTTTTTTAATTCTTCAATTTCCCGTGTAAACATGTAACGAGTCCGGTGAAATGGAAAGGCCTCCTGGAGGCACTGCGTGTACTTGTTTGGAGAAGGCGGTAAAAAACGACGACGAACCGCGTCCCTGGAGTGGGCGACGGCACGTGTCGCGCGTGAGATACGACGAGACGCTATCGTCAGCAGCCATCGCCACTTGAACTCGCTTCGAGATGCCCCTCTGGACACGGGCCAGGGGACTTCGCCCTTTGTTAGAGTGGCGAGTAACTGTACGGGTTTTGCGGCTAGTTCATTCTTCGCGTGCTGCGCACGCTCCAGTGAAATTCCCACGATGTTGGGTTTACTGCGTTTATATGCGCCGTGTGGCGTGTCCACTTCTAACGAAATGCGTTCGGGGTTTCCGCATAGGGGATAGCGAAGTCAGGGAGGACTGCCCACCCCCGGAAAGAATCACTTTGATTATACTCCATTTCACCTTGAGCCCGAGCGGGGCCGTAATGTAGGCGTTACCAAAAAAAAAAGTAACGAAATACTTTACTCGTTATTTTCAAACAAAAAAGAACGCTCTACGCACCCTATACGCTACATCAAAATAAAAAAAAAAAGAACGCATTACCTTTACCTATAAACAGTGACGCATGTTACTTTTGCGTTTCTTTTGGATGGCGTCTCTCCACCCTGCCTGTCACTGATGGCGACAGTCGACACTGGGACAGAGGGAGTGGGCGGTGGGGTCTCTGCTAAAATTCAAGTGTTTGCGCGAGGAAAAGAGATGCCAAATTTAACAACATGTGAAATGAGTTCAAGAATTTATTAAACTTGGCCCCTACAAACAAGAAAAAAAATTGAAATATACTTGCTTTACATCTTGGGAGGATGATGGAAAGAGTAACGTAACTACGTTACCCGTTACTCGACATAAGTAACGTAAATACGTTGCTCGTTTTTTTTTTTTTTTTGAAGTGATAACGAGTACGTTACTTCGCTACCGAAAAAAAAAAACGCGTTACGGGTAACGCCGTTACTTGTAATGCGTTACCGCTAGCACTGCTTGCAACACAAACGTACGGACTAAAAACACACGACGGATTTTTTGCGATTGTTTGGATCAGTTTTCCGGTAACACGTGCATAGAAACAAGAAAAAAATGTCGTGATCTCGCGCTTACCGAGAAGCATAGGGCCAATGAGACCTCATTGGCCCGCAGCATTCCTAGTGCTCGGACATGAGATAAAATATACTATAAAGCAGTTCTGATCTCCGAGGAAGGTGACGACAAAACAAGCCTATGACCAAGCACCTTAAGGTATTTTTATCCGACCTGCAAGCGGCGTTGGTCGTTTGTTCACGCGGTCTGACAATCGCACCACCCGACACTTTGCGCGAACACGGTAAGGGGCGCTTTTGTGTACTTTGCTTCGAAAGGGAATTGACGGGCATCAAACCTTCTTTTCGCTTTGGTAAGTGTCCAAATAAGCGCTTTGCACTACGCCTATTTAGCATTAATGATATCCTTTGAGTTTATAAAAAAAAATACATAGAAAAAAAAATGCGATCGCTTGTTTGCTTGAACAGTATCGTGTCGTGAACTAAGGCTAATAGGGAGTTTCCGTAGATCGTTCCTTCCTTCCCGCAACGTTGTTCGCCACCCGCTGCAAGATCCGAAACTCTGCAGTCAAGGCCAGCGGCGCACATGCGCACTGAGTGCCTAGCGGAGTAGGGAAAGCGATCTACGAAAACTCCCTAATTCTGATTCAACGGAAGCCGCAGGCTTCCTTTCAATCACGCCTGAATTGCTAGTCAGCGTGATTCATTATTTGCGATTTCCACCCAAAAAAGCAGACATGATTAAACTGAATTTTTTAAAACAAAAAGTAAAACAGTAAAAAAAGTTAGACTAACCCGTTTCACAAGAGGCTGTAGGGCTTCAGAAATGTTCCTTTAGAGGAAACTATAAAATATGTGTCGTGAAAAACATCTCTATGTTTAAGAAGCGTTAGGGAGAACAGAAGATTGTAAATTGTACGTACCTCCAACTGCAATACACTCACAACTCAAATTTGTTTAGAGCTACGTGCCGCGCAAATTATTGTAGAGAACCTAGAGAACAGCAACGCACTCAGCCGAGGAATAAATGTTTTTACTTTTACTCTTCTAGTTGGCGGTGGCTTGCTTTCATTTTTGCCTCGGTTTGAAAACCAATTTCTTTGACTTGCGCACAGGACGATCCGATTCAACGAAGGGTGCTCGAGATCTACAAGAAGATGCACACTTTCCAGACTGTGGACTTTGTTCGGGAAAGGGTGCGTGGGATTCTTTCTCTTGAAGCGATCTTCTGCTCTTGTGTTTCAGTCGGGCTTCGAACCGGTTCATTACAAAGTCCTTCGCAGATTATAGGGGTTGTCTGCGTCTGTATCTGCGAGAAGGACCAGCTTGGCGAATTGATCGGAATTGCTAAATTTCTGTGAAATACAAAGGTGCACTTCCAGATATACTATATTATGTAATAAGTTTAGTGAGCGCAGTAGATTTCCCGTGTTATTAGGGTATTGATCAATATAAAATCTATAACAAGTCGTGTAAAAGTAGATAGATTGGGTTGGTAATCGTCTGAGATAGTCCAATGCAGATAGTATTTTATTTATTTTACAGCAATCGAACTCGCATGCTCGGAAGCTCTTGCCCAATCGTAACAGCATTTCCTTTGCGGTTTTGGGCTCCGAACCGCAGCATTTCGCATACTCTTTCGAATCACATTAAAATATTATCTATAGATAAACCCTCATTCGATTCACGGTGCACGTTTGCTTTAGACCTCGTCGTTTAGGCTTGAATGGTGTTGTACGTGCGGACGCGTGCGCTCGTGCGACGTAAACACTGTCTAAGAGGCCACACAAGTTTCAGAGAGGCAAAGTTGGAGTATGCGTGTTATTGTGCCCGAGCGGGGAATAGATGGCATACTCGACGTTGACATAACAATTCCATTTAAGCAGACAATTTAGGACACAAATCGATACCAAGCTATACTTGCCTAAGCGTGTGTTGCTGGTCATTGAATGACTGGTTTCGTTGGAGTATCCTTATTAAGATGGTCAGTAGATTTCGCACATATTTGCTAGTTCATGTTGTACAATAAGTCGAGATCATGTTCGCAGCTATTTTCGAAGCTTTCTCCTACACTTTCATAGGCTATTGTCTATAAAAAAATATATATATATTAGCTGTTGCGAGCGGAAATTTTACCGAACGCTGGTTAGGAAAATATATTATACGCTATAAAATTCTGCATTGGAAACCCTGTTTCCAGCTTTAGTGTCCCTCCCCGCTACGTTCTCGGCAACGAAGACGCCGCTAGTTCGGATACGCGTTCCTCTAGAATTGACTATAGTTACGGATCTAGAAGCGAGCTGCCGAGTGCGTTGGGGGACAGCGGCAAACGATCTACGAAAACTCCCTATGAGGAAGGATCAAAGAAAACTCCCTATTAGGGAAGTTTCGTGGATCGTCTCGTATGAAAACTCTCTATTGACACTCTGTTTCCACGTGGGCTCGTTTGTATAGATGGCAGAGTGGACCCAGTTCAACAAGGCCGCGATGCCGGTCATGGAGGCGCTGCGTCTGCTCAACAGCCTGGTGGACGAGAGCGACCCCGACGTGGACGTCCCGAACATTGTGCACGCCTTTCAGACGGCCGAGAAGATTCGGGAGGCCCACCCGAAGGCCGACTGGTTCCACCTGACGGGTCTGATCCACGACCTGGGCAAGATGATGGCCTTTTTCGGAGAGCCGCAGTGGGCGGTCGTCGGGGACACCTTCCCCGTGGGTTGCGCCTACCAGGACTCCATCGTGTACAGGGACACGAGCTTCGTGGACAACCCGGACCTCGGAGACAACCGCTACAACACCAAGCTCGGAATCTACGCGCCCAACTGCGGACTCGAGAAGGTACGCAGAAGATCGTTGCCGTTTCGAAGCTGCAGTTATGCACACCTTAAACTTCTCGCTATGACTTTGGGCCACTCCAGAGATCCTAAAGATTTAAAAGAGGGAGCAATTCAAACCGTAAAGAGCGTTTGCAATGGTGGATGCCTTTTGGGCCGATTGGTCGCACGTGTGCATACGTTGGGTTGTCGACTATTGAGGAAGGAAGAGAATAGAGAACTGGAGGCGCTTGCAGAGGACCAATACTTTCGGGACGTGTTCGCAGCTCATGTTGCAAACTCGCCCCAGGAACCACATCACCCCGATCGAGCAGTTGGAATCATTCTGAAATCTAGGCGCACTAGGCAATTCTAAAGGAGGTGACGCCTAGCTCCGAGCAGAAAAGATTGACGGAAAGAAACGGGGAGCTACTACCTATCCAAGTGGTCAGCAAAATATTAGAGTGACATAGCAGCCGAGTTGTGAAGTAAACAAAATAGGATTAAGTGCACGCCGTTCGTGTTGCAAATCGGGAGAGAAAAAATGGGCTACGTGCTTCTATCTGTTGCCACGTCCTTAGCACCGGCTTGTCTCATTGGTCGTGCGCGCTTTAGATTCAGAGTTGTACGGTTCAAGCTCAAGCTGTACCCAGGTCAAGAAGCTATTAATGTGAAGATGGAGCAACTGCTCGTTTAGTTTGCGCCGCCAAGTAATCGTGGGTTGCTTCGAAGTCCCTGAGGTTGCAGGTGAGCGCCTTTTCGGGAGTTGCCTCTACGTGTGCGGAGTGATACGGCCGTCCACCTTTTTTTGGTGGCGCTTACGTGACGGCATCGGCGGTCATTGACAGTGTGAAACCGGGGTCAGTTCAGCGTCTTAACTGCAACACGCCGTAATTTTGTACCGCCTTTGGCTGAAGCAACAATACAAGCGTAATCGCTGGTTAACGTTGTAGAGCACTATATAAAAAAGAAAAAAAGTTTTATAATTTCTTGACAGGTGGCGCCAAGTTTTTACAGTGAAGGCACATTCCCAATTGGTGAAGGCGATACAATTGAAGACCGAGATCGCCTGCTACAATTTTGGCGTCCAGAAGTGCCTTGTCGATTTTGTCGCCTTTAAGCGCCAGGCCGGCGTAGCGTGAACCAAACTTAATTGGTCGTGTCCAGACACGTGCGCGACGAAAAGGCCAACGCGTCGTACAAATATAGGCGAATCCGAACCACGCTGAGTTACGTGGGATCGTGGCCCTCGAGCTTCCAGGCGCAGAACTTGCGCACCAGCAATCTCTGACTTTCCGACCCGTCGTTCTGTCGTGGGTGTGTCTAGCTGTTACACACTTTGGGCGAGACTTTCATTGTAGGTGTAAGCGTGAGAAGCCAGCATTCCTTTCGTCAAGCATGTTTGTCTCCGCAGACTATGATGTCATAAGGGGTAGTATGTGAAGGCATGGAAATGCCATATTTGTTTACACATGTCGTCACTCTTTACGTCTGAGCTGACATATGCGCCAACCTTATATAATAAATAAGCACTTTCACTGCTAGAGCTCTGGGCGTTGCGCTTCCTAAGGAACTCGTTTTGGGAAGAGCAATGCATTTGTGGATTCCCGGCCTTACATTGACTTTTGTTTCTGATGTCGGCGGTTACCATGCATGTCCGTGAAACGGAAACTTCGCAGCTGCATCACTCTGTAACATCCGTTACCGCAGGCAAACGTGCTCGTTCATTCACGATGATTTTGTGCGTACTTTAAAATCGCTGAATTATATATACACTGTGGTTCCCACCCAGCGACTTTGGAGAACGCGAAGAGTAACGATATCGGCAAACAGATGGTGGTTCCAATGTCGATCCTTCATACCTTTGGAACGTAATTCCCTGGCTACTCATCATCATTTCAATTCCACTCGTCACGCTAGAACAGCCGACCAACCGCTGCGACGATTTTATCCGAAGTATATAGCCTTTACAATATTAGGTATCAGATACGAGTATAAATATTCGAGGTGCCTGCGTGTACCTTGCACGTCTCACCGTTTTGTTTATTTTTATTTAGATGAAGACGGTTTAAAATGTGATGTAATTATGTTAATTAGGAAAACAAAATCATTATATGGAAGGACACAAAAAGTGGCGTCTAAAAATTGTGCGGAGTCATCGCTTCAGGAACTGAGTTTTCTGGCGGACATTCGAGTGGTGTCTGTCGCTGGAGGCACCGTTGATGCTGCGCGTCTGATTGTATGAGTTGCTCGGCGCTGCCGAGCCCCGGGGTACGATAAACGGACATTGCCGCGTTCTCCTTATCGATAAGTTAACGTCTCCGCAGATTCGGTCAAGGCTAGGCTATCGTCTTGACGACACAGCTGGCGCGTGTGAACTCGGGTCTGGGGACGTCGCCAGCACCAGTTTTTGAGTCGTTATTATTTAATAAATAACGAAGAAAAAATCCCGGCTGGCATTTTTCTGTCATTCCCTTAAATTAATTGAAGGCATCGTGCGACGCGGTTAAATGTAAGTGGTAAGAACAATTTTAGTACTTCTGGGACTTTATTTTCAACGAGTCTTGGCTTTCATACTATGGCAACCACAGACTGGGTGAACGAAGTAGGCACCTTTCTTGTTTTAAAACTTTAAAGCCTTAAAGTAGTCACGCTACGCTTAAATTTTTTTTTAAAGAAAACTGTGCCGGAAGAATATATTTTTTTCTATACTTTTACTCCGAACAAAGCGTGCGCACCGCCTAACTAGCTCGTCACGTTCTGGGCCAAATTACGTCAGTTCTTACATGGTTAATTAATCACACAATGGCAATTACGACAAACACACACACACACACACACACACACACACACACACACACACACACACACACACACACACACGCACACACACAAAACACGAAGAAGCAATCATTTCGTAATTATTTTATTCTTAATAATTCTAAAACCTGGTCTGCATAAGGAACCTTGGAAGGTTTGGTATCAAGAATAATCCAACTTAATAATAGGGCTGTTAGGACCCATTTATTATATAAATATATTTCTTTTTACTTGAAAAAACTTCGTTTTCAGACTTTATGATGTCTTAGTATTGGCAGCGCCTTGATTTGCCAATAAGCAAGGTTTGTAGATTTTTTGTTGCGAGATAAAATATCGTCATACAGTCTGCTTAAATGGTAATTTTAAACTGCTCTACCAAAATGTTCTGAAGTGTGCAATCTAATGTCCCGTTATTTATTTATTGTGGTGAACGCTTACTCGAGTGAAACACGTTATGTAGAAATGTTGATAAACAGGTAAACAAAAACCTACATATATTTCAACCCGCAAAAACATCGAATTGTTCTCATTTTTTTGAAATGCGAAAAAAGTTGAGTGATGAGGTGGGTTTTCACATAGTGGCATTCTCGACAAAGGACACAAAAACACGAAATTTTCGGCTCCTGAACGTACAAGATGAACATGAGATTTCATCGATGCTTTAGTAAATTTACAATATTGTCCAATTAATTCGATACTTTTTCTGCCCTTGCAAACTATGGTTGTCTGCCACGGGAACACGGGAATGCGACAGTTTTGTCTGTGGCGTTTCTATTCATAATCCTTGGGATCATAACCTATTTTATGAGCGTCACGAGCTCACATCGGCTATACTCCAGGAGCAAGATAAGCGTTCCTCGAGATTAAAAAGTTTAAGAACTCCCACTTCAAGGCACTGAGACGCGGATCATTAGGCCTACATGAAGTGAATACCGTTCCGAGCCAGTTTCATCAAAATCAAAAAAGCGCAAAAAAAAAAAAAAAAAGACTCGATTGGAATTTGTCCTTGATGAGACAAATCCAAGTTTCACAGGAAGAAACTTTTATATACAGCGGTATTTTGCGTTTACGCGGCATACAACCTCCCACCTCCCACGAGGTTGCTTACTTTTTTGGGAACCACACCCCTTATCAGGTACCAAAACGTTTTCCAAGTACGTATTCGAGTCAGGCGCAGTTCTCTGGGGATTGGGGAATTCCTCCCGCTTGCCCTCGTTTGTGCAACATAAGTCCCGATAAACGCCGATTCTTTTTGTCCTGCACACAAAAAGGTGCCCCCGAAAAACGCGGAATCGGTGGGATAAAATAAACGCTGAAAAGAAAAACACCTCCGGCTTTTAAAAATAAAAAAGAGATAAGCTAGGAAACACAAAACCTTGGCCAGATGAAAAAAAAAAAAAAAAAGCTTCTGTTATTATGGGGTATTCGATTTCATCCGAAATTTACCCGGTTGTTTCATCTTCTTTCTAAATTGGCTTCCTTTATGTATTAACTATTTGCAAAACCTAATTAAAAGAATAATTTCCTTTCTGAATCAAATGCACTCAATTTTAAATTGCCTGATGTCATGAAATATATTAAATGTACAAATGACTTTGTGAGGTTTCGGTAAATGAGGCGAAAGATTTATCCATTCTCGTGACTCCTTCATAATTTTTGTACACCACATTAACGAAACAGCTGTCTGAAGAATATCAGTGAAACTGCACCCTCACAGCCGGGAGCACTAAGTCTCGCACGCGAAATTGGCACGATACAGGAAGTTACGACGAAAATAATTTCTGCAGAAGGGGAACAAGGGGGACGAAGGGCAAACACAAACCTCCAAACACAGCTAAGTGACTGTTGCGTCACCGAAACAATCCGCCTGGTCCTATAGTATTGAAGCAGGGACCTCTCCCTTTCCAGTGGAGCACTCTACCAACTCCGTTAACCAGGAATTAGACGTCGGTAGTGCAAACACGTTTTATCAGGTGCAACCGGTTTAACACGAAAAAGGGCAAACGGCATGCAATCTTAAGGTTATGATTAATAATGCAGTTAAATGCAAAGCTGCAAGCAAGCTGGACAAGAATGACGAAAATAATTCCTGGAGAAGGGGAACAATTGGGGGCAAAGGAGAAACACAAAGCTCTAAACACAGATAGGTGACTGATGCGCGACCGAAAACGAGGACCAGGCGGATTTTTTCGGTCGCGCACCAGTTACTATTGCTGTGTCTGGAGTTTGTTTGTCCTTTGTCCCCCTTGCTCATCTTCTCCAGGGATTATTTTCGTCATTCTTGTCTAGCTCGCTTGCATCTTTGCATTTAACTGCATTATCAAACATGTAGTTAAACGGAGAATTTTATGCTTAGATATATTGCCTGGAAAATTTGGTTCATATTAACACTATAATCAGTTACAAGTTGAAGGTGTCTATTTTTCGCGTTGAGTGTGTCTTCGATGACCCACGACTTCGATTATTGTTTGATGGTTGTGTCTAAACCTTAGAAAGTGGCACGTGACCACGGAGAAGAGAGTGAGCGCGACTCAGGCCGGCAATTTCTCGGTCGACGGTTTTTGGACGGAAAGAAAACGAATTTCGAGCCGGAAATTGTTTTCTGGGTAGCTGGGCTCTCATATATCATGTTCAAATAAAAACCTTGGCGAGCATAAATACCCTGCCAGTGCCCCTTTAAAGCTTTTTTTTTTTTTTTCTGATAATTTTTGGGAAAAGTACAACTGCCGACTTCCAGTGTTGGGTAAAGTACTTTTTTTTCCTCTTCGTTCTTTACGTCTTGGTATTTCAGCCTGTCTCATTGTCCAATTTTTTTTCCCACTCTTTTTTTCTCCATCCTAAGTCAGTCGCGTTCGGATTTCTAGCTTATTCTCGCTGGGTTTACCCCGCCTCCTCGTGCCAAGAAATGACGTGACGTGGCAACCGATTATGCGTGACGCGTGGGAGTTACTTATTCGGTCGCCGATCGCATCGCGTTGGCGTGGCGACTTTTTTAAATTCCATTTTGTAACGTACCCTAAGCATTCCAAACTGCGCCGCTTCACTGGAGGTTGAACTGCTCGACCCCCCGAACTATCCGAAGGACGGAGAAAGACTTCGTAACTGAAGACACACTTCGGGGCCCACGTTTCCTGCGTGGGCACGTAAGAGTTGGCCGAGAGCTTACAGTTGTCTCGGCTCGGTGTGTTCTTTTATTCTTCTTTCCGAACCAGGACGGTGGAAGTATAGTTCGACGTGTGATTTAGCTATTCATTTATTCACGAGATACCGCGGGCCAGTATTGCGGCCGAAGCAGAAATGACTTCAGACTTTAACACGCTCACTTTAATATACCAAATACTATGCAGTTGTCAGCATTTGTGTAGTTGAACATAGAAACGCGCATAACAAACTGCAAACAGGCCAGTCAAGATAGAGCAATCTTCCGAGTGATGTTTTATCGACATTCATACTTTTCTTAATAAATTTATATTTAGAGCATCCCCCAATGGTTTCTTCGGGTTTCTAATAAACTGCAGGGTCGACGAGAGTCGGCAGCTCGTGAACGTCGCTCAGTTTAAAAGTCAATTAATGATTCATATTTCCCCCTGACCCTGCACAGTCTCGCTGCGATGATCGCATTTAATATTAGGCTAACTTTTTCGTTTCTTCAGCAATGCCAGTGGCGGTGTGGTGCGTGGTGTGTGTCGTCAGGGGGGCAGGAAACGGGTTAGCCTAGAGCAGCGAGTGGTGTTGCTAATTGGTCCGCTCGGTGTCTTTAGCGAGAGCACCGGTCAGTAATTATATTCAAGTTTCGTCCTTCTCCTTCCGCAGGTCTTAATGTCCTGGGGCCACGACGAGTTCATGTACCAGGTGCTGAAGAACCACGGAACCACGCTCCCGGACGAGGCCCTGTACATGATCCGCTTTCACTCCTTCTACCCTTGGCACTCTGGAGGCGACTACCAGTACCTCTGTAACAGCAAGGACCTCAAAATGCTACCATGGGTTAGGGAGTTCAAGTGAGTCACTCGCCTTTGGAGGAATATAATTAATATGTTACCCGTTTCATCTCATTTTTTTTTTAGAGAGTTTGGCGTTGGACTTTTTTCTTTTAGGCAAGATTAATATCTCCATGCCGCTTGATGCATTTAGGCTTTCGTGAACAGTACCCGAGTCACGGTGGCGTCAATGAACACCGTCACGAACACTGGATGTTGAGATCCAGTATCGAAGCTGAAACATTTTGTGGACCCTGCTGACTCGGTTGACATATGTTGATATGTATGTTTGATCTAGTGAAACCGTCGAGATAATGGACGTAAAATTCGGCAAGACGGAATACATGAAAGATTGACACCAAAAATAATCAACTATATGTATTAAAGTCTCGTATTTTCAAATAAACCAAGTTGTAACGCATTGGGACCTTTCAGCCGTCATGCTTTATCATACTATAAAATCACATTTTATGTAATGCGATTTCTAGGTAGAAATGTTTAATCTTTTGACCAAATAAGGCCAAGGAGGCATTGATCGCGAAAAATGCGTGGCTCTTTTTTTGTAAAAAAACCACGAAATTATGTACGTATACAATTAGTTCTTATTATGTGCTGGAATAGTTGTGCGCAACATCCAGCTCGCGTGATAATGCATTTGATTCTTTGAAACACTCGTGTTGCTGAGTGTAGCAATTAAGTGTTGCCATAATAAGTCACTATTCTCATCGTGCCTTTAGAAAACGTCTTAACATGTATCCTGATAGAAACAAAATAAACTGCCAAATAATGTCCTCCTAGAAAGAAAAAGAAAACAGGCGCTCATACACGCGGGGAAGACGTCAAATATTTTGCCGTACGCTCAATTATTTTAATAAGTTCTTCTCTCGCTCGCTTGGCTGATAATGATGATCTCCGGCAATCTTGTGCACGTGTGTTCCAATACGTATCAACAGCAAGACAGGTATTGATGCGAAATTGATTGGAGTCACTGGAGCTAATTAAACGAAACGTATCGCCAGTCGTATTAAAATAAATCAGTCCTAACACGCTTGTGGGCACAAAAACACTTTTATTCAAATGTTGGCAAAGGTGTTTAAAAAAAAAAAAAAAAACTGAACAAACTGCATTAAGATTTTATATGACATCTACGTGACCGAAGATATATTGGCCGTGGTAAGGTCCGGATGCATCAGTATGAGAAAGTTTATTTTAGACTGGAATGGATTCTTTTTTTTGTACTATTTGTAAGAACTCATTGTTTCGGCTGTCTTGTTAAGAAATTACTTCCACACGTCGAGCTCATCTATAATCTCGCTTCAGAGCACCTTATAGATGAGCGCGAACTTTTCTGGGTTAATGGAACGTTACGTGTTAAACGCGTAGGGCGTTTGTCCTCAGTCACTTGTTTCTGCGTAGTTTTTATGGAACACTTGGAATAATTTGTCCTCTTCGTGATTTAATACGTTTTTACGCGGTGTTGCGTGGACTGAACTTTGAATAAAATTAAGATATAAAGATTAACTGGAAAGTCTTTAATCGGCTCTGGCAGTTAACTCACACTAGTTCAGCGCTAACTTGTATCTATATATGAGGGAATACTGTATCTTTTGTGTCAGAGCTACAAAATCTTTAGCTTAATCGTACGACAGAAGTGTGGGATTTATAATTCTAAATGCAGATATTTAAGGTGCAACGGCTGTAAAAAAAAATATTTTTCAGTGGAATCCAACGTTAAATGCCTTTATTTAATTCGTCAAAAAAAAAAGAACAAATATTTGTCCTGTATTTTCAGCCAACATTCTGGCTATCACAACATCTATAGATACGTTAATATCAGAAGCACAAAGATGGCCCCACTAATTTCGAGCAATCAAGGGTCGGTTACGCGATTCTAGTAATTTTCCTAGAAGATGTGCTCAGTTCAGCTTTATTCAAACGATCCGACATGGTGGTGAAACGGCGTAAGGCACGGTGATACTACTAATCTGTTCCAATATAAAAAAAAAAACAACAAAAAAACATTATAACAAAATAATAAAACGAATTGTTTCGTTGTGCGTTTGTGTGTATGTTCCTACAGCCTGAAGTTCGCCTGCCTCTGGCGAATTTTCTTTTAGTTATAGATGAGCAGTTTAGCCAGTACAGTTGAACCGTTAGCCGGGGACTTTAACGTGCACCACGCAGTAGTGATACACGACCGCACGCCGGTACGATGCTCATCCAGATCGAAACGGGCGAGGGTGGTTTATGCAATCTCTCATCCTGGCAGCACCATAAGAATTCACGCATTCCTAACCAATTGACCTTTTATTTTTATTTTGTCTCGCAGCAAATTCGACCTGTACTCAAAGTCAGAAGAGGTACCGGACATCTGTGCCCTGACCCCTTACTACCAGTCGCTCATCGACAAGTACGTGCCAGGCATTGTGCACTGGTGAAGCGGTGACCAAGCGAAGGCGGTGTTGCGCTCCATTCTGTACATAGGCTGTACACGTCTAACCTTTTTAGCTTTTATCTCGGTGTTTTCAAACACTCACAGAGCGTTTTACCTTGACATGATCGCACAATAAACGGACGTCATTTCTGTGATGTGCCTACTAGCATGGTATATCGCTACCACCTAAATACACTGACGTTCTTTTTAATGCAGAGTTGGATTCTTACCGAGGCTAACTCTGATTTAGCCTTGTGAAGTGAAACGTTCCACTGTCGAAGGTAGTTAGCCGGCTTGCAATCATCTGCGACGCGAGCTCCGCCAGCCACACAATGCCACCGTGAAAGAAAAAAAAAACAATACGGAAGAGGCCGGAGAAAAGACTCTGAGACGCTCCGAGACTTCTCCAACTGCGAAAGTTCCCAAAGAAAAACAAGAAAAAAAAAAAAAAAAAAAAAAACGGTACGAAAAAAGGACGTGACCACGCTAGGCACGGCGCCGCTTGGAAGGCTGAGTCTGGAGTTATCGTCCGCTGCGTTCCTCATGAAGTGCAATGGCGGTTTTGGTCGGCAGATCTACATACAACTGCAATGTGTTTTACATAACTGTCCTTGTCCCGGGCTTACGCGTTGCATTTCAGCACGGAATGTGTTTTGTGGGTCGTTTTCCATTAGAAAATCGCCTTGAACGACGGTCATGATGAGATGGAGAGGAGGAATTGGGAGAGAAGAGAAGTGAGAGGATGGGTGAAAGGGGGGGGGGGGGGGAGGCAGATAGAAAGGGGAAAAGGGGCACCATAAGAAAATGAGGGGACGAATTGAGGCAGAGAGTGTAGGGAAGGGTTAGAGAGTGAGGTGGGGAGAGGGAGCGTTGCACAATTAGGTTTCCCCGCTAAATTTAGCGGGGAAATTGACGTCGTGACTTGACATCACGTAACCTCTGTACCGATTTAGCTTCCCCGTTTACAAGTTTTATTGGCTTCAATTCTGTGCTTTAAAGTGTGTCTATAAATGATTGGTGTTGGCCTTTTTAATGGTACATATTTCGTTTCCTAGCTTAGTCGTTCTTCGTGGTCTCTGGTCCGCCTTGCATCGCTCTTTCAGACCCCTGGAAGTTTATTAAAATTTCTATAAACTCGAAGTTCTAATATAAAGTGTGAGGGATATTGCTAAAGAAAGGCACGTGTATTTATAAGAAGTCATCGGAATATTCTTTATGTGCCAATAGCTCTAATATTTCTGCCTACGAACGTTCTAGTCAGGTACCTTTTTGGCCTTAGAAGACTCAAAGTGACACTCACTGGGCGGGTACGTAACTGAACACAACAAATAAGTTTCTCTGGGCCTAGGTGAAATACCAAACGGCTGGAGTTTAACTATGGGCTGGGTTCAATACTTTCTTATCTAAAAAGGTTGGTGGCGACTGAGCGTAGATGATGTAGTCTGTCTAAGTATGGTACGACTACATCTCATGTTGCCACTGCCAACCAATGCCGCTTGTTTAATCGCCGAGTGCATACCTTCTAAAAAAAAAAAAAAATACGTATAGTTATATCTTGTGTTGTGTTTTCTAGCTATATGCTATTTCGTCAGGTGTTAAGTTTTATTTTTATTTTATTTTTTTAGAAAGCAAATACAAATAATTGAAAAGTCAGATGGCCCCATAGCCAATGGGGTAATGTGGACTTAATAATAATAATAAAAAACTATTATGTAAGATGCATATCGTTTAACATGTGAATTAAAAGACAAACCGAAAAACAACTGAACAGAATATAGACAAAAATTATTTCGAAATATACTAATTAACTAAACGAAAGCAGTGGCAATGAGATGAAAATTATTTAGGGAGAAAAGAGAAGATAGTGCTTCAGCTCATTGATACGCGTGTGACGCTTAAGTACGCTGAACTAGTGACATTTTAGTGACACCTATAGTAAACCTCTTGCAAAGTTATTCTACTTGTCTCCGTTGATGTGATGCTTTGCCTTGTTGGTCATGCTCGTGCAAACCTACTTGTACAGGAGCGGGGAAAAATGTCTTCTGGAGATCCCAGATTCAAGTGATATTTTTGTTTGTGTGTTCGTGTGTGTGTGTGTGTGCGTGCATGCGTGCGTGTGTGCGTGCGTGTGTGTGCGCGCATGCGTGTGTGCGTGTGTGTGTGTTCGAGGTCATTCACCGAAAATACTCTGCTTTATAATTATTTAAATTACACTTTCGCAAAACAGTAACACGCATAAAGAGAAGGTGGTCTCTGGGAAGTGATGTTTACAGGCGTGTTGGCGCTGAGTATTGGGTTTTGAATTCGTAAGATTGCATATGATTTGCGTAGGCGTCTCGGCAGGTTTATCTGGAAAACGTATTAATCTAAATACCATAGAGTACTTTATTACAGAAGAAACCTATTATAAAAGGTCGACGCATAAAATTGATTTAACGTTTTACGTTCCTGAAACAACACTACTATGAATAAAAATAGCGGATAAAAATAGATTAGTTCCACGTGTTTTACAGTCGGAAGATACATGTATATATGGGCTTCTCCATTTTTCGGAAGTTTTTGGAGGTAGTATACAGCACCGAATGCATATATATATATATAATATTTCACAGTGTAGTTATATAAAGCACAAATAAACTCGAAGTCGAGACCTCACGCGGCGACAATTAGCTATAGTGTTATTGGAAACATTCCACCCTGCGAGCGCGGGACAAGCCCGCACGACGATTAATAATGTCCACCTTGAAAGAAGCCCGCCAAGAGGCATAACAAGGTCACGCTCATTCGTGAGGTTACTAACAAAGGAACAAAAGAACGGAAGAAACCTACACGGGCACGTACGCACAGACAAAAGGCAAAACAAAGCGCGCATCTGGCGATTAAAAATAGACAATAGGCCTCCATTTAGACTCGCATTGGGCACACACTATGCACAATGCCACACAGTTCAACGATATACGCGGAGGCACCCGTTAGCAGTCGGCACTTAAATGTTAAATTAGGGGTCATTACGGGAGCTACCTTCCCCCACGGCGAACTTCCTAAACGCAGTGGACGGTCAAGGCCCCGCGCTTTCGGCTCCTGAAACGGCCGTCGTACTCTGGGATCATTAATGAGAATCAACGAGACTCATCGAACCAGCATTACACCTAAAGATATGGGTCGACTTGTCCTTGAGGAGATCTTTGCGGTGAGAGATCTGCGTTTGGGAGGGGCCTTTTCTCGAAATATTGTGTTCGTTGTTTTGTCCAATGGTTAGTTGTTGAACGATAGTGAACGAGATGAAAAAAAGGGCCCGATCGGCCATGCCGATCAGACCCACTGCTGAATTCAAATCAGTGTGAAGCAATCATACTTATAAAAAAAAATTACTACAAATTTAAAAACAAATTTTAACATTTTTGGCGTTTGGGCGAGGAGGATTTGGATCTTGAGTGTGTTGCTTGCGTTTCGACATTTTACCTTGGTTACGGTATTTTAAGTCCCTGTGTGTGTGTGTGTGGGGGGGGGGGGGGAGAGGAGGGGGGCACACTGATACCACGTAATTAGCCCTATCCACGTGGGTTGTTGTTTATTTAGGTGGACTAAATATGCAAAGGGGAGTTTTTGGGAACCCAAGCAAGACTGTAAAATCGAATTTCAAGTACTGATATACAGAGGAATCGAACAAGAGGAATCGTTAGTTATTACGAGGCCGACCTGAACAGAACATCGTACACTCTGCGGCACTCTTAGCGCGAAAGAGCCATCGCCGTTTTTCTCTCGCAGTATTGAAGGACTGTAACCAAAACTACTATCTAGTGGTTGAAAGTGCTCAGTTGGGGTACACATCCAAATGGTACATTTTGACGCCTCCCAAAACGCTCTCGACGTTCATTCCGAAAGGGCGCCAAAGTCGTGTTCGCAACAACACGCAGTGCGTCGTCTTAAGCAGCAGTAGACGCCGGATTAGCTCTTTAATTCAGCCGATCATGCTTCAGAAGGACGTAGGCAGGATGTCCCCGTTTTGGCGAGCGCCCACGTTCCTCCGTAACCTGCTGCCACTCGGAGGCTGGCAGACGTTCTTGAAGGCTACCTTTTCAGAGGTGCCCAACGCGCCGCCGGGAAGGACGAACGAGCAGTCACGGGCTAATCGTGTCGCTGACTCGGGGACGATGAAAGCGACGATAAGCTGCTCAAGTGCTCGTTCTTCTTGGCGAGCTCGTTGTGTGTACTTGGCGGTGCCTCCTGCATCGCTTCCTCTCCAAACGAACTTGAACCGAGCCTTGGCAGCGGCTGGAAGCTCGGGCCGCCGACCGAAGATGCTTCACTCCTTCCGGGAAAGAATTCCGGCAGCGTAGATTTCACCCGGAGGAGCGTAGGAGAACGAACAAATAACATTTTGGCACTCGACGACAAGTCGTCATTCATTCATTCCTAGGAACTGATTAAGGGTTTCTTGTTTTAAGTGTTTATTCTTTAGCTCGTATCATCGAGGCTAAGAGAGCGTAGATATTTCTAAGGGGCCATGCCAATCAACGGTCGACACAAAGAGAGTGCGCTGCACATGCTGATCAGCTAGCCGAGTGCGCACCGTCGGGATGAAAGCGAAAACGACCCCTGTGAGCGCATTTGAAGGGATGAAACTAACGCGTGACATGCGCAAACGTCGGACAAACTTGCGCGCTATATTATAATCCGTCTCACGTTAAGTCTGACCTTAGCCAAGGCTACGATTCCCCATCCAGCCAAGCGAGCAGCGCCAAAGGTCACGGTGGTTGTTCTCTTGGTGCCTGAGTCAGTACCGGCGACGTGATTGTGCGCGCCTGGTTTCGGCTTTAGACAACAGTTTAGTCTCTGTCGTGTGAAAGCGATAAAGGCCGCTACGAGTTATTGGTGCGTGTAATTCGAGGGCAAGAATAATGTGAAAAGGATCTTCTCTGCTGATTTCTCACTTTAGGCTACATAGAATGTTCAATGGCTTGACTTTTTTCCCTCAACTTTTATGGAAGGCTCTACCTTCGACATTTTCATGGAATGAACGCACTATACTCCGCGACAACTTTTCTTGGCAATGCAGTGAAAGGCACAGGCACGCGTTCCTTCTCTCATTTTGAGCGGCTGTGCCCGGGCTCTCCTCCTTTCCCCATTTCCGGGGAGAAGAGAAGAACCCGCGCACACTCTAAATGGGAGAGGGAACGCGGGCCTGTACCTTTAACTGCATTGCCAAGA